CGGGTCTAAGGCGAAGAGCGGGAGTCGGTCAGAGGCAGTGGCGGCATGCTGGCGATTCCGGCCAGGTCGGTTTCAAACTCAGAGAAGGGAGCATGACATGCAGAGGAAAGTGGATGGAGGACGAACACGGACTGTGTCTCTCTGTGCGGCTTCTATTGCTAGTTCGGAGTCAAAATTGAAGGAGCATAGTCGGCGGGTGCAAGTGAGGGAGGCGGAGGGAGGTGGGTTTGATTGCTCAGAGAAGGAAGATATTAGAGCCAAATGTTTGGATTTCCTGAATGTAAGTGCGCACGATGTCACCAACGTGGGTGCCTAGGAAGATTGTGTGAAGTGTGGTGGGTGAGGCTTGCTGACAGTTAGAGGTCATCAGATGAATGAAAGAGGAATTTTGACAAAGAATTTTGGTAGTTAGTTACGGTGAGTCAGAAGCACTAACTTCTGGAGAGTTTAAGTTAAGAGTCTCTTTATGATAGGAAATTGGATCTAATGGAAGGGCTGGGACAAGGGCCAGGTGTAACCATAGCTGTCCTCTCAGCTATTTGAAGGGATGTATGGGAGAGTGAGGTGGTATGAATCTTGTTAGGTGACTGAGCAGGGTTATGGTAAGAGGAGATAACAAAGTTGTGAATGGTGAAAGCTGCAACACTGACAATGTCAAGCTTCTTGGATGCTATTAGAGAGTTGGAATGCGCAAAGGTACCCCAAAGGTCAAAGGGAACAAGTTTCCATTCGTATTGAATATTCAGGTTAATCATCTCACCATCTACAGATATTAGGGAACTCACCTTCAATTAAAACAAATATTATAATTGAGCCACCTCCTTATTTGGACAACAGTTAACTACATAGCTTTTTATAAATCTAAAACTCCGTAGAAAAAAATTATTCAAATGAAACCATATTAATTAAGACAACAATTTTCTTAACAGTTTGTAGATTTGGAAGTCTCCATATCATTATAGCTATGCCTATCAAGTTGAGAGTGTCATGAAATCGAAAGCCAATATTCCCTTTTTTTTATTGTCGTATACAAAGATATAGTGGTCATATTGTTATGAACACTTTTATTGTGAAGGAAATAAGAAATCAAACAAGTTACGTTTTTCGTAACCCCTTCAGATATCACCACAGACCTCTACCCAATTACTATGTTGTCTTATACTACTGATCAGCAAAAGTTTTTGCATCCAACCATTGAGACAATCAGTAAATTTGTTGAGAATAGGGAGGCACTAAGTGGTTTTCAACTTGTTGGAATAGACCATAATACCAAAGGTATTTCTACTGTAACGGGCTACATGTAATACCAAGCAGGGAAGAAAACTATTCAGCATCATAAGGTTAACTGCTTTGGACATATTTAAAGTATATTTAGAAGGGTTAATTATGATTGTAATAATAACTATAATATAGTTTATATTATTTATTTGATAAATATAATTTCTATGGCTGATATTAATGTTGATATCAAGTAATCATAATTTAAAAAGTCGATTGGGTTAGAAAATATCAAAACTCAAGCACATTGATTTAATGTTTTTAGTCACTGATATTAATGTTGGAATCAATTCGTAAATTTTTCTTCAATCTTAAGCTGAATGGTGAGTTCTCTGTCACTGTTCTCAATAAGAATAATATTTTGATTAAGCTTAGGAATGAATTGGATTACTGTAGAGTTTTCGCTCACCGTTCCTATTTTTTTAACAACTATTACATGAAGTTGGTTAAATGGTCTCCACATTTTGACGTTTGTGTGGAATCTTCTATCATTCCGATTTGGATTTCTTTCCTAACCTTCGTCCTCATCTGTTCTCTTATCGTATTCTTCAAGGGTTGGGGTCCATTTTTGGTAGACCTTTAAAGACTAATAACGTTACTGCCAATGGAACTAGACCGTCAGTTGCTCGTATACTTGTTGAGCTAGATATTACTAAACGGTATCCGGATCAAGTTTGGCTTGGTTCTGAAACTTTGGGTTATGCCCAAAATGTGAAAATGGAAGTTTCCCCTTATATTGTGGTCATTGTAAAGCTTTGAGTCATTCAAAAACTCATTGTAGTGTGTTGCATCCTCATCCTGCTGTTGTCCCTACACATGTGATTGGTTCAGTTTTGGAACATGTGGCTGAGATTGATAAGGTGGTTTCTGGTATTTGTGTCCAATCTTTGGCACATGTGGATTTGGGTTTGTCTGCTGATGCTATTTGTTCTCCTCTGATTATGCCTAGTGCTGTTGAGTTAAATAACTCGGATGTTGTTGCGGTGATTGACATGCCGCAAAACCCCTTGGTTGTTGAGGTTGATCCTGTGGATGCATTAGTTGCACCAGTTGTTGTGCCTAAGTCGGTTGCTCCTTCCTGCACTACCCCTTGCTTGTCTCACCTGATGGAGTTTTGACTGCTGGTGTGAAAGATGATGCTTATTCGGTTGGTATTGATGGTGAGGGTACCTTGCCTATTGTTGTTGGTTTGGGGAAGAAGATGGATGGTAGGGGTGTGGGTGGATTTGATGCTATTTTGAATACTGCTGCTGTGTTTTGTGCTCTTTCAGATAGCGATGATCCCTTGTCTAATAGTTTTGAAGAATCACTTTTGAATGTGCCTTTAACACTTATTTCCAAGGATGATCTGCGGTCTCACATTTCAAGGGATAGTGAGGTGATGCGGCGTGACTAGTTACATGCCGATAATTCCTCAGCTAATGGTGAAGATTTTTATGAGGATGATTTGGCTTCAAGAACTGAACTTATTAAAAGAAGTGGAAAACGTAGAGTTCGTAACTCTAGGAAGAAGTGATGCTCTTTTTTGCTTTGTTTTTCTGTTGTTTAGATTGTTGTCTTTAGTTTGAATCTTTGGCTCATAGGTTTTCTTTTTATGCTGTATTTCTAAAGGGCTTTAGATTTTTTAAGGACTTGTACCCTTACTTTGTTTTAACTTGTATGCCCCTTCTGCGGGTTTTTTGGAATAAAAAAAAAAATTGATTTAATGTTTTTAGTCTTACGAATATGTTCATTACGCGGAAAAGATCTTTTTAACTTCAGGAAGGGAATATAAATGTCATAAAATTCCATGGAATGCTAATGAAAACTCCAATCAAGCGATTTAGAAATAGATCTCTAAAATTCCTTCTATTTATCCTTATATTATTCTCCCTGTTTGACGAATTGTTATAGAGCTCAAATGTTTGTCTCATAGCAGAAAGGTAGCTTGACGAATCGCAGATATCCTTCTCCCTGTTTAATGTAGGCGTTCATCCGTGGAATGTGTTGGATGAAAGCCCAATCTTCCCCTCCTCTCTGACATCTTCTAAGCAACCTTTCATTGCACCATAACTGAAGCAGGAAATCGTCTCCATCATCCTGAGCTTCTCTTCCTCTTAGCAGCTCTTCAATTAACCTTAGTAACCACTCTGGTAGACAATCCATGGAGTCATCAACGAGTTCCAGCTGCTGCAACCCGTCCAAACTCTCCACACATTTTAAAGCGTAGCACCCTCTCACTGTAAGGCATTTCAGTAAAGGAAGATTAGAGATCCTTTCCAAGCTTTGGTTTTCATGCAGGTCAATCCATTCAGATAACTGCGTGAGATTTTCAAGTTCCTTGAGACTACTAGCTCCTGTAACAAAAAGCTTTTTCAAACCAGTTCTACCTAGTTCACCAGGAAGTGATCTCAGCTTAGGACAGTCCACAATGATAAGTTCATGTAAGCGAGGAAAGAGCACTAGTTTCTGTGAACCATCATTGTCTTCATCATAAGAAAAGAAACATTCATGCAGATTCTCCATGCGATGGATTGTGAGTAGTTGGAGCAAAGGGAAAGCTATTTTGTTCTCAGACCTTGCTGCTACTACACCTCCACCAAGAAATTCTGGTCCAATGCTCTTGACTGCATTTCCACCAGCAATATAAAGTATTCTCAAACTGGGCAATTGACCCAATGGAGGAAGAAGATGGCTTGATATGTTGTCCACAAGATCCAAGATTGATAAATAAGGGAGATATGATCCAAGGGACAGCGACATCATCCACTTCGGATAGCTATTGCCAAAGTAGCATTTGATGTAGAGTTCTTCCAGAGACTTAGGAGGGACTAATTCCTCAAAGAGCTTTTCAATCAAAACAATTTCCTTTTCACTGTTGTTTTCGTCATTACAATGGACAGGACTACATGAAAGCTGTAGTTCCTTGAGTCGAGAAAGTTCTCGGAGAACTAAAGAGCCTGATCGAGCCCTTTCAAGATTGTATACATTCAGGATGCTGAGATTGGAAAGTGAGCTCAGGTCCTTCAATCTACTATGCATTATTATCTGTTCTCCTCCAACCAGATCACTGATACTGTCATCACCCACGACAAAACCTTTTAGTCCATTGAGCTGCTTCAGTCTCTCTATACCTTTGGGTATGAAACTAAGTGGCGTATCTAAAAGAGCCAATCGCCTTAGATTTTGTAGCTGGGTAATACTTTGTGGCAAATGTGTTAAATATTTACATCCGCAAAGACTCAGAAATTGTAGGTTTGATAGGCGCCCAATGGATTCAGGCAAGTGTCTTACATGTGATCTGTCAAGATCAAGGTGTCTCAAATGAATCAAATCTCTAATGAAATTAGGAATGCTTTCTATCTCGTTTTCTGTAAGATCCAGAACTCGAAGGTGCAAAAATCTTGCCAACTGGTTAAAATCAAGAGCTTGAAATCCACTGAAAATGAACAGAGTTCTCAAACATTTCGGCTCAGTTATTGCATCAAGAACGATCATAGCATTTCCTTGCCCTGTTAATGCTAACCGTCTTAGCTTTGTCAATGATATGGTGCTTTTCTCTGTAACATTTCCGCTAAAACTTTCATCACGGGATAGGAACTGAGCAAGAGCTCGAAACAAATCATGCATTTTGCATGAATTGCCATCATAGTTTAGAGGATTCAGCTGCAGTAGGTTTCTCCTAGTTAATTCGTGATAGTATTCCTTTGCTGTATCTTCCATTAAAGAATCTCCTTCTTCTTTTATGAACCCTTCGGCCACCCACAGTCTAACAAGATCTTCACGGAATAATATCCAATCCTCAGGGAACAGTGAGCAATAATGAAAGCATTGCTTCAGGGGCGACGGCAGGTCATCATAGCTGAGGTATAAGGCACCCCTGATCTCTTCTGGAAGCTTGTTCATGTTCCATGCATTATTGTTTAGAATCTTCATCCACTCTTTAGCAATTGGCTCTTTCTTTGCAAGAACCCCTGCCATGGCCTTGATTGCAAGAGGAACACCATGACATTTTTCAACGATTTGAATGCCTAATTCCCTTAACTTATAAATATCTTCCTCTCTTCCACCAATCATTACAAGCCTTCTTGTAAGCATCTCCCATCCAGTCTCAACTGGTAGTTGAATGACATGGTGAATGTACACGCTCCCCATTTGCTTGGCAACATTTTCATCTCTGCTTGTGATTAGGATCAAAGAATCAATCAGCGCACTATGAAGTGGGCTTCGAAGCAAATCAATCCACACATCAGCTCTCCATACATCATCAAGTACAAGAAAAACACTCTTCCCGGAGACAGCTGATCTAAGTAAAGGCTCAAGCTCGGCTTTAGTATTTGCATCTCCATAGCTTGCCATAGCTCCTCTTATAACTTGTTTCAGCAAATCAATCTCATTGTAATTTTGTGAGACACAGACCCATAATTTGATCTGGAACTTAGTTTGAACCTTCTTGTGGTTGAAAATTTTCTGAGCTAAAGTTGTCTTCCCTATCCCTCCCATGCCTGTAATTGCAAAAACGCTAAATTTCCTCACTTCTCCTCTAATCATTGACTTAATCATATCTTTGGTTGCATCTTCAATCTCTCGTCCAACTACTTCAAGTTCAGCAATTAACGGAGAAGTCTGATGACTATTCACCGTTGTAATATTTGTTTTTGTGTTCTGATGGTCTAAGTTGAACTGTAATCTGTCTTTGTAAATCTCTTCAAGTCTACTATTGATGCTATTAATCCTTTCACCAATCTCATAGCGATGTGGAGCACACAGAAAACAAGAGAAACAAGAGAAGTTGCAGGAAGGATTTGAAGAGGAAGAAGGATTTTTATCCAGCAACTGGGAGCCCTCGATTAAAGAGAGATCTATAATGTCTTCTGCATCATACATGACATCCTTGAGCTCGTTGACCCAGTTGTTAATGGAAGAGTCTTCCAGCTTTCTCCTCTCAGCATCTTCCAAAACTTTTTGGATCCTTACCATTGTCCTCAGCAGCTTTTTCAGATCTTCTTTAACGCCCAGCATCATGACTGCCTTCTCCTCAATAAAGCTCAATAGCCTCTCCACGCACTTGCCCACGAATGCATCTAAGATCATGGTCATTTTCCTGCTTAGAGATTGAGAGCAGCAAGGAAAAGAGTCTCGTAAGTTTGGAAGAGCACTGTGATCGTCTCTGGCCAAGAAAAGCTAGTATACTAGAAATTTTCTTGAACTTACAAGAAAATATCTTGTATTTAAATAAAACATTCTACATTTGTGTTAGAATAATGGGCATTATATACATATACATTATGTTTGGAGCTATTGACAAAGTCATGTGATGAGCCGGCAGCATAGTACTTTAAGGCAGGTGACATATGGAAGTTGGCCAATGTATTGGCTTCATTAGAAGTGTAAAAAAATAACCCTATTAGAATTCAATTTAAAAAGTCTAGATTTGAGTTGGCCCTTTTAATGAGTCAGATTCGATTTTGGAATTTTAATCCGTTCATTAAACCTATTAGATTGGGTTGACTCGCTGGGACCCATTGAATTTATTATTTTTTTCATCAATCTTTTTAACTATTGATATGATTGACTTATCTTTTATTAGTCAATCTAAAATCTATTATTATTAATTATTTTAAAAGTTTCAGTCTGAGGTATCGTAGTTGGGCAACTAAAATCGAGGGGCCCGTTGTCTGGTGATAGAGGTCGAAGGGATAGTACTCGGCTGATGATAGAGGCCAGAGAGACCATAGTTGGTAGGCAACGGAGGTCGGAGTTAACATAGTTGCCGCGCGATGGAAGACGGAGGCATTGTAATCTGTGGGCCACGGTGGTCAGAGGGATCATAGTCAGTGAGCGGCCGAAGTTGAAGGGATCGATCTTTGTTGGCAAGAGACGGAAGTCAAAGAGACAGTAGCCAACGGGCCGCGGTTGTTGGACATACATTAGGTTGCTGGCAACAATGATTGGAGGAACCATAATCGAAGAACGATGGAGATCGAATGAATCGTTGTCGGCGTGCGACGATGGTCGGAATAATTGTATTAAGTGGGTGATTGTTGTTGGAAGGACCGTAGTCAAGAGTAATAGAGTTTTGGTAAAGGAACCATGGTGGCTTTCGGATAGAGGTTTGATGAAGATAGTTTAGTAGAGGTCCAACACAGTGGCTTGGAGGCACGGGTTCGCCAATAGTGGTCCCAAGGTGGAACTCCTGGATTTTTCAAGTCTTAAAGTTCTCTTTAATCTCTAGCCCAATGTCTAACCTCCAAAGGTCTAAGCCCCCTCCATGTTGGAAGAGGTAGTCTATTTATAGAATTTCAGAGTTGTATGCCCCATAATAATGGAGAAGATCCAGGGTAAATTTAGATTGCTCAATTGGACAACCCATAGTGATTCCCATAATCAAGGAGCATTTCTTTAGCAATTAAATGCCTTAATATTGTTGAATAAAGTGATCATTGTTTTGTTGGATTCGCCTCATCAAGCTACTAGATTTGAGTTTAAGCATACTATCTTTGGATACCATTCAATCATTAAATTAATGTCCTAAAGCTTTCAAATATGCACTTATCCTTTAATTCGAGTCCATTCTATCTCAGATTATTCCTATTCTGGTGTTTTAATGTTCGTCATGCCAAGATATTAGATTTAATTATATTTGTGTTGCTATGAGAGTTCAAATGGTCCCCAATTTAATTTTGGAAGCATCCAACACAGATATTACTAAAGATTTATGCTCGATCACGACGATTTTTGGTGGTGTATTAATTACCTCCCTATTTTTTAATATTGAAGCTTCTAGAGTCTCAAAATAAATTTATGAGTCTTCAAAAAAGTTTACAAATCAATATTACTATTTTAAATAAATTACTAATCGCCACTACCTCCGGGATATCAATATGAACTTCTCTTTGGGTTTGGGAACAAAGTATAATGCCTTTGATCATAATTTTAGCATTTTGTGAAGTCAGGGTGTCGGTTGGAGAAAGAAATTATGAAAAATTTCCCCCAATAAATTTAAAATTTACTTGAGACTAACTACAGAGGATCTGTTGGGCTCTAAAATTGTCAAAATTGGGTTTGTATATTTTAAAAATTGTACAGGGGATCATAAAAATTTTTGTATTAGACTGTTATATCTGAAATATGGCTTGGACATGGCTTGGCGGCCGAACCAACCGCGTGTCGACCAACCACCAATAGCTCTACTAGGCCACCCATGTGTATGAATTTATAGGCATTACAATGGCCCTTCATCATTTTTTAATTATTCTTAATTTTTTTAGTGCCACCTTATAGAGGCAGCGATAATGTTGTCTCCTCAAAATTGAGGGGTTATGAAATTACTTTATTATTATTACTTATTTTTAAATATGAGAAAAATATCTTTGGCCTAAAATTTTTTAAAATTTGAAGAAAAATTATTAAAAATTTAGAAGAGTTTTTTTTTTCTACTTCTCTCATTCATAGACCTATAAATACCTCCCTCGGAGTGGAAAAAATATACAATTCCTTAAGCTAGTCCATGTTTTCTCTTGTATTGTTAAAATTGGACATTATCGGTTGTGATCCAAGACCAGTTCTATTTTTTATTCAAGTTTTCTCTTATGAACTAAGGAACAACAAATTGGTAAAATTGGAGATCATTGGAAACGATCAAAGCCTTATTCGCTTATGTCAGTCCAAGTTTTTTTCTCATAAATTGGGAGAAAGGTGAAATGGTAGAATTGGAGACCATCACGGGTAATCCAAACCAAGTTCTCTTCTGTTAGTCTATGTTTCCTCCCATAAATTTGGGAAAAGGTTGTTCGGTAGAACTAAAACAGCATCGATGACAATCAATACCAGTTCTCTTACACAGGCAGTCAGACAATATTATTACAAATATGGGCCCACATACAAAGATTTTAATGATAAAAAACATTATTATTTCTATACTACTACTATTATTGCATATCTATTTTGTATTGCCTACTTACTAACATTTCAGGTCTACAAATTTAATTGCAATGCAAAATAGCTCAAGATCGGGTAGACTATGGTTGAGTCAGTCTGTAATTTAAATTTCAATATGTTTTTTAATTTTTTGAGTCAAGTCATGTATCTGGTGGATCCCAAGCTTGGTAAACCTGCACACATAAAGCTTGGTAAACCTGCACACATACACTTAGGGGGAGTGATTTGGTGAGTTAGAGAAATTTCTTTTTTTTAACCCAATCATACATAACGATTTCAATTATACTGAATGATTAATTAAGAAAAGAAACCCTAATTACAACATACTTATTAATTAAGAATTATGAAACTAATCATATTGGATGATCTATATCATATAGGACGATTAATTCATATTATAAAAAAAATAGCCACCAATCACAATTTAGGTCATATTTTAATTTCAAATTTTATGCTAATCGTATAGGAGGATATGTTGAGATAATTGCTACTTAGTTCATGATTGTTGATACTCTTACAACTTGTATGTTTTTTATGGCATGAAATTGTGGGGTCACTCTTCATCCCAATGAATATGAAAATTTTTCTAACTATTCGTACCGGATAAACTTGATTCGTACCGGACGATAATCGTGTATGATTTCATTTCATTCCGATTCAGAACATGTTCGTACACAACAGTTTTCGAACTGTTTGGACATACGAACATCTGATCGTATTGTATGACTGTGTACAGTCAAAATTGAAAATTTCAGTTTTAGGATGATTTTTCATGCCTTTGATATAAAAGGTCCACTAAAACTAATGTGAAAAGGTCTTATTTTTATGATTTTTCAAGGGAAATTGAAAGAGAGAGTGTGAGAGAGGGTTTGAGAGAGATTTCATGCAAGTTAAGTGTGAAGAGTTTACAAGGTTACTCAAACTTATGAATCTCTTTATGATTTTTGTTATCACTCTTTGTCTGATCTTTGTAGTTGTTCATGAGAAGATCTTTGAAGAAGATCTAGAGGATATGAAAGGATGAATGTACAATTTTATGACTCTTGGAGGGTATGAAAGGATGAAGGTACTCTTTCTACACTTTGAGGGTGTGAAAGGATGACGGTACTCTATCAACACTTGGAGGGTGTGAAAGGACAACGGTTCTCTGATTATACTTGGAGGGTGTTAAAGGATGATGGTTCTTTTTTGACACTTGGAGGGTGTGAAAGGATGATGGTTCTCTGTCGCACTGGGGATTGGTGGAAGAGATATTTTTGTAAAGGCTTCTTCGCCTTGCTGTGAGGGAATAAGAAGAGTCACTTTGGTAATAGTATAATATCTGAAGAGAGAGTCTTCAATGAGTGGATGTAGGTCGAGTTTGACCAAATCACTATAAATCTTCATGTCTTTTTAATTTTCACATTTATTTTCTACAAGTTATTTACTATGATTGAAAAGTTCATTTTAAAGATTTAATTAACTTGCTACGAATATTAAAAATGGTTTTCTATCTAAAAATTCAAGAGAAATTTTAAATTACCAATTTACCCTCCTCTTAGTTAGCCTTGGGTTAATAACTTAAGTTTAACAACTTATATGGAATCAAGAAGTGGTATCAAAGCTTTGTTTCAAAATCATAAGTTTAGACTACTTTAAAAAAATGAGAATGGCTACATTTAGAAACCAAAATATACCTGAAGGGTATTCGATCACTAGACCTCCGTTATTTGATAATTTTCTTTTTAATTTTTGGAAAACACACATGCCTACTTTTCTACAATCCTATATTATCGCATGTTGATTTTAGTTCAAAAAGGGTATACTAAACCAACTAGATTAGTTGATGGAATTAGAGTTGAAACACCCTTTGCTGATTAAACTATAGAATAAATTGACTTAGCATAATTAAATGCTAAATGCTTAAACAATTTCTTTTGTGTACTTAAGTTAGAATATTACATGCGGGTTTCAACTTATAAAGGTGCAAAGGACATATGGGATGGAATTTGCATTACTTTTGAAGGGACTAATGAAGTAAAGCAATCTAGAGTAAATATCTTATTACATAACTATGAATTATTTAACATGAAACTTAATGAATCTATTTCTGACATGTATACAAGATTCAC